TCTGGCATCCCAAGCGAGTTCTTAACCATCGCGCCACTCGGCCGGCCCCAGCAGCTCTCTTGTAGAAAGGGGCCCTGCCATCCCTGGGTCTCTTGTGGCACGTTCCCATCCAAAGAACAGCATGCTCAAAACCCAGTCCTGAGATTATGAGAAAAAATAATATTTAAAGGCACTTATTAAAGATACTCAGAAGGCCCCTCGAATGTCAAACAGCTGTGCGGAAACCCTAATTTGATGATATACGTGTTAATGAAGCCCAGACATGCAGATTAAATTCTCTTTAAATCGCACGTGGCTTTAAAAATGTATTTCTCTCTGGCATGTCTGGTTTGAAACAAGGTTAGCGAAACACCTGTGAGGGAGGTCCGCTGATCTGGCGGCCTTCAAGCAGGAGCCCAAGACAGTCCTGGCTCGGGCCTCTGGGAGCTTGCAAGCTGGATATGGAAAAAGACACATGGAGACACACGTTAGCATCCGCATGGACCAGCGCAAGCAAGGGCACGCTGTGAGGGCAGCTTGCTGTGCGTGGTTCTTTCACGGAGTCACCACGGTGTGCCAGGCCCTGCCTGGGGCACTGGGAATGCACTGGTGAAGATGGAAATAAGCCCTGCGCTCATAAGGCAGGCGAAGGGGATAAACAATAAATAGAGAGGCAGTTTTCTCTTTAAGGGAGTCTCCGAGTCTAATGGTGCTATTAAGAAAAGAAACACTGTGACATGATATGAGAAGCAGGTTGGGGCGGGGGAGAGGGGAGGTTGTCCGGGAAAAGCAGTGAACCATGGAAAGGCTGGGGAACAGCCAGTACTCAGGCCCTGGTATCAGAACAGGCCTGGCCAGTTCAGAAATCGAAGCAGGCCGCCAAGGAGTGGGGAGGTGGCACGTGGCAGATGCACAAGGTCCAGGACTCCACGGCTAGTGAGGAAATGTCCTCCGAACAACGCGGATGATGCACCGTGCACAGTGCCGGGAGACCAAGGTAAGAGACAGGAGGAGAGATTTAACTCAACTGCCAGTGGGAGATCAAAAATGCAAGCCCGTTCCAGACAGAGGCATGGCTGGGCTGTTGGGTGCTGGCCCAGGACTGGTCACGTGGGGGAGTCCACTCTGGGAAAAGTCCTCAAGCTGTGCGCACAGGGCCTGTGAACATTTCTGTAGCTATCTTATTCCTCCATAAGTGTCCGCTGAAATGAGGACGTCTGTGCACAGGAAACAGCAATGTACTTTTTGTAAGAATACATGTCAACCAAACGATAGACCTTAGTACAGCAGAGGGGTTACCTGGGGGCGCAGCGGGGAGGAGGGAGTAAATTGGTGAAAAGTCTTCCTGGAGTGCTCAGACACTGTTGCAAGTGACTTACATGTATTAACCCGCCCACTTATCTTACATTCTCAACAGCCCTATGATCTTGGTAAAGCCGACATTCAAGTGAAGAGCGTAGGCCTGGAGCTGGCCTTGTTATCCCTATTTAACAGACATGTTAATTGAGCTCCTGGTAAGGAGTGAATGAGTGAGTGAGTGAGTGAATTAATGAGGGAAGAAATGAATGAATGAATGGATGAATGAATGAATGGGTGAATGAATGAATGAACAAATGAACAATTTAGAATAAACGAGCCCTGGTGCCTCTGGGTGGCTATTGACATGCAGGTGGGAAGTTGCTGACAAAAGCTTCAAAGGTCACTGCTGTGTGTTTTCTCAAGCCCTGCAGGTAGGACCCCCCACCCCCACCTCCTGGACCCCCCTCAAGCCCACCTCTGGTCATGGTGGGAGCTGGCCTCTTCTATCCCTTTCACAACCAGCATGTGGCCAGGGACAAGCACCCAACAGCCAGCCACCCGCTGAAGCCTGGTGACAACATGACAGATTAGGAGCTCTACAAAGCCCGGCCACAGGAATGACAAAAGGAAGGAGATGATAACTTTCCCAGTCCCCCGTCTATTTTTATTTCTCTCTGAACCTTGAAAGACAAGGGTTCCAACAAGCCGCTCCTGCTTGCTGATTGAGACTTGAAGTGTCCTGCGTTGCTTATCAATGTCCCAGCCCTGAGTCAGGGACCAAGAGGCGAGAGACAAGGCTAAGGGGAGAGCGGAAACAGCCCAGCCCAGGCTCCAGACCCCCGAGTGGGGAGAGAGACGCTCTTGCAGGGGAGAGAAGAAACCCCAGGCCACACGCCTGATGGCTCTTCTGACATTGAGTGGCAGTGGGACCTCAGCAGACCCTCCCAGAGCCTGGTTTGCTCATCTATAAGACAGGTGGGGTGACCCCGGCCCCTCCCTGTCACTGGGATGTGAGAAGGATGTGTGAACCTGTGGCAGGTGTTGGGCCAACCGTCCCATCTAGTACCCTGAGATGGAACTCCTCCTGAGTCTCCTCCTAGGATCTCAGCCCAGCAATGCCTGGCCTCCCGCAGCCTCCTGGACCCCCGCTGTGTCAGGAGCAGACATCCCCTTTGGGACGAGGCCGGGCCAGAGTGAAATCCCAGGGCCTCCGTTCTGCAGCGTGTGAACCAGATGGGTCATTCCTCCCCTCTGGGCCTCCGTCTCCTCATCTGTCCAGTGGGGACAGGGGTGCCCCATTGCTGGGGCATCACTGGGGAGAGGCTGATATCTGTTAAACACTTGTCACTGGGCATCTGGCCCATAATAGATCTCGGCAGGTGGNTAGTTAGAGAGGGGACAGACATCTGGGGTCCAGGAATAACTCCACTACTTACAAGCTGTGTGACTCCAGGCAAACGGCTTGCCCTCTCTGGGCCTATTTCCCTCCTGGAAATGTGAGGGCACTGAGCCCCACCTCCAAGGCTGCTGAGGGGATCACAGGAGAGGACAGCCCAAAGCCAACAGAGGTAAGGCCTCCAAGGAGCCTGTCAGGCCCGTGCCAGCCCCACTAGCACATCCCCACTGGGCGTCGACCCTGAGCATCGATGTGGCCCCACTGGGTCTCTGGAGGGCTTTGCCTGCAGAAACAGACTCTCGCATGGCGGAGGCATCGCCTTTCCTGATCTCCATCCTCTCTCCCATGCCTCCCATTCAAAGAGCGATGTGGCGCCAGTTGACAGATGTCCCAGTCCCAGCATCAGGCCAAGTCTGGCTACGGAATGACCTTCCTCCTTCATCCATCAACACAGCAGTGCCCAGTGCTCATCCCCCAGAGAACCTATCATCAGGTTCCTGCTCATCCATCTAACTTCCAGCAAACTCCCTCAGGGGACAGGCCGGGCGGAGCTTCCAGTGGGACCGACGGCGTTTGGCACTGGAAGCAGCTCTGGGTCTCAGTGCAGCTGGGTGTCCTAGGGCAGGTCCACTCCCCATCTGGGCCTCGGTTTCTCTTCTGTCCGTTTAGTCTAAGGGTGTTAAAAATCAACTAAAAAGGAAAAGAAAAACCTGCCAGCAAAAGAAAGATAGCTGCCTCTGGGAGGACCCAGCCCTGGGAGAGGAGATTGAAACACTGCCCTTTACAGAAATCAGCTCTCAGAATTCTACCTCAGTAGCTGGTGCTCAGAAACAAATACAGATTCAAACTCCGGCTCTGTGAGCACCTCACCGTGTGACTTTGGGCAAGTTGCAGACCCTCTCTTAATCTCAGTTTTCTCGTCAATAAATTAAAATAATAATACCCACCCACCTCCCTAGGTTATTAGGAGGATTGTTTTTAAACAACATATAAAAATGATATCTGCCATTTTTAGAGCCCTGGCTGCATGCCAAGCTCTATGCTATGAACTTTATGTACCGTCTCATTTCTTTCTACAATCACCTGTGAAGTAGGTATTAGTATTCTGTCCACTTTACAGAAGGACAAACTGAGGCTCTGGAAGGTTAAGGGATTTGTACAAGGCACAGAGCTGGCAAGTGGTAAAGTCACAATTTGAACCCAGGCAGTCTGGCTCCAGGGGCCATGGGTTCACCCAGCATTTCACACTATGATATGTGTCAAGTCCCTCACACATTGTAGGGGTTCCATTCATGTCAGTTATATCAGGGTAACCATTGTTAATTCTTAATCTTTCCTTTCCTTGGCTAAAAGGACCTCCTGAACTGGGACATTTCCTCCAGGGCTATGCCTTGGGGCTTTGGCTCAAAACTGTGAAGGGAGCATTCACCCATCTCTTCTGATGCAAATCAAAGCCTTGATTGGAGACAGCCTTGTTGTCCTCTGACCTGCGTGCCTTGAGCCCACTATAACTTGGCACCTTTCTCTGTGTTGGGGACATTTCAGGCTATGCAGAGACCCAGAGAAGGAAGGGGGCAGCAACAGGCAAGCCCAGTATGCACTGCCTCAGCCTGGCCTCCTGAGCACCCAGTGGAATGGAGAGCAAGGCCAGGGGAATCAGAGAGACCTGGGATCAAAGCTGGGCTCTCCACTGGCCAGCTGTGTGACCTCAGGCAGGTGAGCTGCCCTCTCTGGGCTCTGCTTCGTCCCCAGGAAAATAGGGATGTTGATGCCCACCTTGCAAGGTTATGATGCATAAAAGTACCTGGCACATAGCAGATGCTCAATAAACGGTAGCTGCCATCACTTATTTTATTTAGGCCAGCCACAGTTTCTGAGCCAATTACAGTCATCCTGCTTCAAACTCAGCAGCTGTTGGCCAAAAGCTGTCTGGCTGGTTTCAATATGCCTAGGAGTTTAAATGCAACCAAAGGTTTTGGGAGAGTTGGTTGAGTTTCGCTGCTAGTTATTTGCAGTGTCTGGAGGCTCAAACCCAGCCCAGGGGGCTGGTTCTTCTAGGGGACCTAGGAACCAGCCTCTGGACTGAAGGGGGCAGGCTGTACAGAAGGGCCAGCTGTTTCATACACATCTGCAGAGCAGTCACGGGTAGAATGAATTTTAGGTCTTCCTGTTCAAAACAAGGGTCTGTGGCTTAGTGGAAAACCAAGCCTGGCCCAGCCCTAGTGGCAGCTAGAGTGGCACTCAGCCTGTATTTGCAGGAAGGGCAGATTGGTGCTGACAGCCTGGGGCCCTGCTCTAAACCTGTTCCTTTGAAAGAACCACCAGCCAACTGAGCTGCTGTCACACTAGAATGATCCAGTTGGGGTGGTAGGGTATGGGATGCTGCTAAACTCTACCACTGATACTGGAACCATCCTTGATTAGGTAAGCAAGGCATCCTGGAAGGTAGTGAGAGAAGGGCAGACCCCCAGCCCGACCTGGCCCATCAATGCAAAGCAAGGATAGAGCAACAGAACATGGAGCGGAGATGAATAGGACCGTGTGGAGGCCAGTATGCTCAGGGCTTCGTGGGGGGTCCTGGGAGTGATCCCGGTGGCTGGGAGAAGGATGAAGCAGGAGGCCTGGGAAGCAGTGTAGGTTTTCTTTCCATCACTGCTGTGTGATCTTGGGGACTCTGTTTGCCCTCTCTGGGCCTTTTCTGCCTCATCTGAGGAACAGATATGACTGTGAGCCATAGAAGATGATGACGGGGTTTTTTTTCACGGTTGTATTCNTTGCCCTCTCTGGGCCTTTTCTGCCTCATCTGAGGAACAGATATGACTGTGAGCCATAGAAGATGATGACGGGGTTTTTTTTCACGGTTGTATTCATAGCAGCCGGCTCACTGCCTGGCACACGGGAAGCCCCCTGTAAATAATTGCTGAACCAAGATGCATCTCCCTCCATTCCTTCTCCATGTAATTTTCCCACAGGCAAGCTTTAGATTAGAGAAGCATTCTGTGTGGACACAGGCTGTTCCTGATGCAAGAAACAGCCAGTATGTATCTAATTTTAAAAAGCATTGATCCAGACTGTTAGATCCTAATGAGGCAGAGACGGGGAGAGAAGCCTTCATCCCTGCATCCCTCTCTGGAATGGCTGTCCCCACACGGCCACCATGGAGCTGACAGCTATCGCAGCCAGAAAGCACCTCAGGCCCCCAAGCCAGGATTACAAACCCAAATGCCCCTAAGACTTGTAACAGGAGTGAATGGGGCCAGCTGAGGTCTGGGGCGAACTGGACAGTGTTCTCCCCGCCCCCA